CCTGAGTAGTTGGGATTACAGGTGCCCCCCACTATGCCAGGCAAATTTTTATACTTTTTTAGTAAAGATGGGGTTTCACCATGTTGGCCAGTCTGGTCTTGAACTCCTGACATCAGGTAACCTGCCTGCCTTGGCCTCCCAAAGTACTGAGATCCAACCCAGTCATATCAGCTTCTAAATTTCTCTGAGTCCAGGGATCCTGCCCCCAATACAAGCAGCCCTTTGCCTCATTTTGTCCTTCCATAAGGGGCAGATTGTTCTCCCTCAATTCCCAGGTGAGAATGGCCCAGTGGCACTAGGTGCCTTGTGGAAACCTCACAGCAGGACAAGGCGAAGGCAGAGAAGGCCAGGACTGAGCCTCCTGTCTCCTGGTGCCCAGGGTTGAGGCTATTTCAATATCATTTGGAGGTCACAAGCATCAGATGTCCCCAGGGATGAGAGCAGGAAAGAACACACTCTCCTGCTCTGAAATCTTCCACCCCTGAGTGTAAGGGCATCCAGCATGAGACACTGTAGAAACACCAGCAAGGAAACAAGCAAATGCTTCCAGAAGTGGTTGGCTATGGTGTTGCCAACCAACATTGAAAACCCACACCCCTGTGGTCTAGGATGTGAATGCTGGGCTCTGCCACCTCCCACTTTTGAGAGCAGAAGACGGAGCTCATTTTCTGCCGTCATTCCTGAAGCATAACCCGACCAGCACCCCAGACTCATCATCTGCTCGGAGGGCACTGGGCTGTGGGCTGTTCTCAAGGCATGCATGTGGGAGAACCCGAGAGGGATGTCATCAATGATACCAGCTCTGAGAAACATGGGGTCACTGGGAGGGTGGGGACACCACTTACCCTTGCTCCTTCCAGCACCACCGAAGAGGAGCAGCCAGGTGGGAATGGAGGAGGGTCCCTGAGCTCCACGTAGCTTTCTGTGTCTCCCACCATCTTTCCTCCAGTTGTCACCTGGGACATGGAGCCCCCGTGACAGGGCCTTTTAGCCAGTGCTGGGGATTTAGATGTGGATTGTGAGTTCTGCAGGTGTTGCTGGTTACCACACCTCTGTGTTGCATCCCNACTCTGGTTCTCTATGTTTTAAACTCATTTTTGCATTGTTCTCATTTTTCAAGGGTAGTTGGGCTTAAGGAATATTGGTCTTAAAATTCTTCTGCGCACAGGGAATTCTGCGACATTGCTTTCTCATGTTTTGTGTAATTTTTGCCTCTGCACTTAATAGCCTGTCTTGTTTTCATTTCTTCTCACTCCTAGTGGGCTAAGTTTGGTGGTGCTGGTGATGGTCAGAGAGGAAGAAATCCTTTTATGTCATCACTGGGATGACCGGTGAGCTGTGACCAAAGCTGGGAGCACTGATCTGGTGGAGTGGCCTCAGTTAGGAATAGACAGCAGTCATGTACCAGCTTCCTTGTGGCCCAGGAAGAGTCACGTCCTTTATGTTTCAGGGGCCTGGCTCCCAGTAGACCCCGTAGGCCCGGAAGGTTGTGTTCCCAACCTGACCCTTGCTCCATACCTCCACCCCCCACCCCATAATATTAGAGAAGGTACTTAGTCAGACAAAATGATGCAACTTGATTTTATTAGGACAGGGCTGGTGGACACTAGAGTGCCACCTTTCGGGTCCAGGAGAGGCACTGGGGAGGGGTCTAAGGGATGCCACCTCGCCGCAGGGAGGCACACTGGCCATCCACAGCACGGCACTTCACAATGAACAGGAATTTTGTAAGCTCTTTCATGTCCTTCCGGAAGCAGTAGAGTAGCTTGTAGTTCTTGAGCAGTGCGTCATCCTGCAAGTTGAGGTCATAAATGCCGTAGGCCTGCCTGGAGATCTCCCCAGTCTGGGGGCTGCCATCTTGCTGCCTCTGCAAAATGAAGGAAGAGAAAGAGAGGCCAAGCGCTTGGACACTGTTCCCTCCCTCTCTCTCATTCTTTCTCCTCCCTCCCCTCCAAGGCTCCAAGGTGTAGAGAAAGGGCTGGAGGATTCATGAGTGGAAATGAAGAATAAGCTGAGTTCTCCTGGGTCAGGGCCTGACTGCTAAAAAGAGAGCAGCAGTGTTTCTTTCTCCCAGATCTGGAAGCCAGTGGGGACCCAGGATTGGAGACTCCTGGTGCCACCCTCACCCCCATCAGAGTTTTGATGACTTCCTCTAGGTCCTTCAGGTAGTCATAGATGAAGCTGTTTAAGAAACTATGCAGTGGGTTGTTGCCAAAGGCACTGCTGAGGAACTGCACGGGATGGAGCCAGGACAGGATGAGCTGCTGGGACTTTCGGAGCAGCTCTAGGTTCTGCAGGGGAAAGACCGGCAGTGAGTGTGCTGCCCAGGGGCTCTGACCACAGGCCTCCCCCATCCCTGGCTGGTGGAGAGGGTGGCCACTCACAGATTTCTGCAGAGTTTCCTCGTTGTTAGTGGGTGTTGGGACAGACTCTAGGAAGCAAAGGGAGGTCCTGGCGNAATCATCACTGGGATGATCAGTGAGCTGTGACCAGCAAGCTGGGAGCACTGATCTGGTGGAGTGGCCTCAGTAAGTAATAGACAGCAGTGCTGTGCCGGCTTTCTTCGGGCCCAGGAGGATCAGGTTCATTATGTTTCAGCGGCCTGGTTCCGAATAGACCTCACAGGCCATGCAGGTTGTCTTCCCAAACTGGCCCTTACTCCATACCCCCACCCCACCCCATAATAATAGAGAGGGGCACCTAGTCAGACAAAATGATGCAACTTAATGTTATTAGGACAGGGTTGGTGGACACTGGAGTGCCACCTTCCGGGGCCAGGAGAGGCAATAGGGAGGGGTCACAGGGATGTCACCCGGCAGCTAGAAGCCACAGCTGCACTCCACAGAGCGGCACTGCACAATGCACAGGAATGTCTCGACCTTGTCCATGTCCTTCCGGAAGCAGAAGAGCAGCCTGTAGTTCTTGAGCAATGCGTCATCGTTCTGCGAATTTCTGTCAAACTTCCTGTAGGTCTGCCTGAAGATCTCCCCAGTATGGGGGCTGCCATCTTCCAGCTTCCGCAAAGGTCTCCCTCAGGGACCAGGAACATTCTGATATTGGCCGAATATCTGGGCTTAGATGGTGATACTCACATCCAGAAGCTCCAAACCTGAGGGTTAGTGCCCCCGTCCCATCTACAGGGTGCTGCCTCTGCTGTCCAGACACATCCTGCTGATAGGGATTTTAGGGGCTCTTGCTTGTAGCCATTGCAGCTAGGTGAGCTGTCCACAGGACTCTCAGTGGTTTGGAGAGTTGGGCCTTGGGATCCTGGAGCTGGTCCCTTGTGGGCCCTTTTATACCCTCGCCCCTTTTCTCTGCCTGCTGGCCCCCACCTGTTTCTATGCACGTTCATGCAAGGGGGGGCCACGTACCTGTGCTAGTGGATAATTTAGAAGCTTCTCCTACACATGCTGGTATCATGTCCCCTGGCTTGTCGTCTTTCCCTTCCCACTGTCACCAGCACTGTGAGGGTTGTGCACAGAGTGTCAGCCAGAGGCACCACCCATCCTGTCCTCTCTTTAACCGGCAGGTCGGTGCCCTCCGGCAGCATTCCATGGTGGCCTGTCTGAAGGCGGGATAGGATGTCAGGACAGTCAGTCCTTGAGACCCACACGGACCCCATCCCACTCTCTATCCTATCCCTTTCCGTCTCCCCGTGTGGTTCCCCTCCACCCACCAGAGAGAGTGTGTGCTGGGAAAAGGGGCCAACGGCACCCAATAGATTCTGGGGGTTCTGTGCATGATTCAGACCTGAATTCCACTTTGGCTGAGTCCTGGGCCTGCCCCAGGCAGCTGGATGCAGTGCTAACACTGACCACCAGAGGGAACCAACCCCATTCTTGGCCCTCCCATCTTCCTGAGCCTTGGGGCTCCCCCAGGTCTGTGGGGACGAAGAACCCAGACTCAGGGTATTACCCCAGCTCCTTGGACCTGCAGTAGAGATACAAACCAAGAAACAGAAATCCCGGCAACAGACAGGAACCACAAGCGCTTCCTCCCATAGCCCTGAAACCATCAGAGAATCTCAAAGTTGGAAGAGCTCTTGAAGGTTTGAGTCTCCT